TTAAGATATAAATTAGAGGGTTCAGAGAAAGACGATAATATACATAATTCTTTTTACCTGAGAGAAGATGTTAGGTAGCATTTCCAACAAAGCTCAAGTGAGTAGCAGTGAGAAATCAAATGTTTAATGGCTGTGTCACGCACGACGTATCTATAAAATGCTTGCAGCAACACTGGGTACCCTATTGGGTAACTGACACTGGACAGATCTTACCTTTACACCACCAGGTAATGAGGCCCTCTCAAGGTAGCCAAGCTCCTTATGCAATGGCAGTCTCACTGTCCAAGGCCAAGCTCATGTTTGGGGCTGGGCTTGGAGGGGACATTAATCCTTGGGATTCGCTTTATTACCCTTGAACATTCTATACTCTGAGTTTAAAATGACAGACTGCAAAGTTTGGAAGTACCCAGTAGGGACTTTTCAGACCCACAGGATGTTCATTTGAAGAAATTAAAAGGATCTTCTCTCATACCTTGGTCCTTTCCCACAGCCTATTCTTTCTCCCTTAAAGTACACTGCCACAGTGTAGGTTCTAGCATGCGAGGGTCCTACCGTCTGCAGCGTTCTGAAAGAAAAAAAAGGAACATTAATTATGGTAAGGTATTATTTAATTGTTATTGCTAATATATAACTCTAAGAAAACGTGTACTTATCACTTAGAGAAAGGTAAAAGTAACATGAAAATTAAAGGAGTAAGTTTATTTGCTATGCTGACAAATCTATAGAGAGCTTTTAAAGTAGGAAATTTTTAAAATTCTACACTGGATTTTTATACGTTTTTTTCCCCAAAGCATTATAAATAGCACCTGAAGGCTACAGTGAAGTGTAAAATGTCTTAAACAATTTCAAAGCGTGTATACTCCAAGTATCCTAAAACTAACAAACTTTTCAGCAGTGAAAAGTTAACCACCTTAGTCTGTTAATTGTTCTTCAATGCTAATCACAACTAAAAATGATAAATATCTGGGCAATGCATCTCAAGCCACATCTGAATGGTTTCATCCCTTATGAGTTCTCTCCAATGCCTGGTATCTTATCTAAAAGATCGGAAAATCTATTTAATTTCTGAAACATCTGAGATCACTTCAAAGGTAGGCTATAATGCCGAGTACACAACACAACTGCCAAAAAAAACAAAACTCCAGGTACTCTGGATTTTAATGACACGGCGCAGATTTCTAATGCAGTAAAACTGATAACTTTATGGAAAAGGGAAATTAAAAGTAGCCAACAAAGATAATGGAACGAACACGGTAATCTTGAAAAAAATATGTAAAACATCCCTGTCATCTTGATAGAAAAGAACAAGCTCATCGTGTACTTGCATTTGGGGGATTTATGAGAAGGGAGCAGAGTCATTTCCTTTGTGTTGATACACTCCGTGGGATGAAAGCACATGGATGCCTTCTTTAAGGTAGCACTTATGACAGTAATCACGCCTGTGCTATATGAGAAGTTTATCATCCTCATTTTATTTATTGAACCTTAATTATCACTTTGATGAGGAAATACTTTGAGCCTTTCATGTAATACAGTTTGGATATTCATTATGCTTATTAGGTACATATTAAAGTGCTATTTCTAAACATTTGGGGATTTTTCCCAATAAGTAAAGGAAACATTGTTTAGCAGTGACAGTTTCTTGGGACAATTTATAGTAGCTTGCTGTGGGGTGACTCAAACTTCACTTGGCCTCAGTTCTTGTAGCGAAAAAGCCTATAACGTGTTGTGACTATTAAATAAACACATAAAAAAGGATTTAAAATTCGCAACTGCCACTCTGGTGTTTTTCCTTTTGGAGTTTGAGAAAGTCCACAGAGAGGGGCTTTTATTCCATATGGAACATTTTCACAAATGTGTGCACTTGCAACCATGTGTGTGCACAGACAAGGAGTAAACCTGCATTCAAACTAGATTTTTAAGCATCCTTAAAAACACATACCCAGAAAATACCTCGGGAGGCAATCCACCTATTTTGATAATCCTTTCCTTTTGTAATTCCTCTTTGAAAACACCTTCGGAGTCAACAAAGGAGAGTCTCAGGATAATTATTCTACCTCCCAGTAAAATATCCTGTTTGCATCAAAACTGGTATTATGTGTGTAGTGACCTGCATTCTTTTTGAATAACTTCTGGCTACCACTCAGAAGATAATGATTTGTCACTAAAGATATTCAAAAGTACACAGCAGTTTCTGATACACATTCTATAGAAGAAAAACTCCAAATATTTGAGTAACAGAGGGGCAGTGAAGAACCGCCCTGCTTCCTACAGTGGCTGCCTGAAACAGCGCGCCATAGCTGTCAGACAACAGGGACAGAGGCCAACAGGCTTCAAAGTGGAATGGAGAGAGACACCCAAATACTGTTAAAACAAGCACAACCTTCTGATCTAGATGCAAAGCCCAGCAGAAGTTACGAGAAATAAAACAAACATAAAAAGCACAGATAATCAAAGGTGACCCACTTACTTAGAACGAAAAGACTGAGACGCCCAAAGAGATTTCGAGTTGGGCCCAAAGTCGGTGTCAAGGAGTCCCAATCCAGGCCCCTCAGAATGATTACCCCAGTGGTTTGTTTTTCCTCCAGACCCCTGGAGCATCGGCTCTGAACTCACTGGATCCAATGCCCGTGAGAGCGAGTACTTACTTGTACAGAGGAATGTCTGGCTCCTTTCCTTCTGTCCTGAGTGTCAAGCAACACTGTTGAAGCTGGGATTTGGGGTCATTCCAATCCTGATTCAAAATAAACTCCTGGAGCAAGTTCCCAAGAAGTATTTAGTAAGGGGTTCTGGAATCACTGAGCATAAAGTAGATAACCAATTTAAATTTTATATGAGCTTACTTTTAATCGTGGAAAGAAGCAAACATTCATGAAAGTATGAACATATTCTAAATCCTTATCAATGTACAGCGCTGCAATAAATGCTGAAAAAGAGAATATTTAAAAATAAAACCACAATGCACTGCCATCTACCAGAAAGAGTAAGAGACCAGACTTTTAAGAAATGTAATGAGGTTTGTAATTCCCAGGCCCTCTTTATTTTTTAGAATTATCGTATCCTCTTTCTTCAAACAAGTATTTCCCTTTATCACTAATATCAGAAGCAACAGCATAGATGTGTGATTAAAAATGCAAAAATCAAAGAGTACAAAGACCAAATTACATTTGGCTAAAGGCTAAATAAATAGTTAAATGACACACAAAATGCTCTCATACAGCAGGGAGAAAATGATTTCTGGGAATACAACCATGTTAACAACAAATCAAAAGAAAACCTAAAGATCAGATACAACACCAGAATGAGCACATTCTTGGGGCCTGCCATTCTCAACACCAATCTTGAGAAGGTTAGCCATTGACAAGGGGCTATGTTACATTTCATGAACAGATATGGGACAATTTATAGAGTCTCAGGATTATGAGAGACTATAGAGTCTCTGCCCACACAGAGAAAACCTTAATACTGGGCTTAGTGACAAAATAACAATATATCAAACTTGCATTAATAAATAAATGGTGACCCCAGAGAGGACTTGATTAAAAGATACTTTAACCAAGGAAACAAATGGTGAGTTTTTAAAAGGTATAAAAACAGCTTTCACTGAGCTTAAAACAAAAACCCCAAAAACCCTGCCAGTGAAACAGATTATTCAACGTTTTTGTAATTTTAAGTTACTTTTCTTTAACTGAAAAAGAGGTTCTTTTAAGTTTCTTTTAGTCAGACTACCTTTGCACTTTGTAAATGAGCTGGTTTTGCACGGTAGACTTTAATACTTGTAATATAATTCCAATAGTCAAAAATACCATATTTTTTTTAAAGTTCCAAGCCCCAGTGAATGGCCCACTCGTTTTAAACCAGTATCAGAAACAATAAAATTATGTGTATAATCCTTTAGTTAGCCATAATAGGATTGTTTATAATGCTTCCAGACCATATCAGAAGTTGCCAAAGATGACAACTATGTCCAGAGAGTTTTGAGCTCATTCAAAACAACAGATAATAGTTTTAGTATTTAAGGAATAAATTAGCCTTCTTTCTTCTATGCCCCTGTATAAAGGCTGCTGGGTGGCAAAAAAAAAAAAAAAAAAAAAAAAAAAAAGCTATGAGTCACTTTTACCAATCTCCACACTCTACTACCATTTCCCATAAAGGATGTGACTGCTAAGCATTAGAATGGAAGGGTACAGAGGCAGGGATGGAGGGCTGATACCACTGAATACAGACTGAACATAAAACTCATTATTTACATGTCTTATTTCCAAATTATTCTAATAAACTTTGGAAAAAGCATGAATAAAAATTAAACAGAAAAGGTTTCTTTACTTAGAACATAATAATAATAATGAGAAGTAAGATAAATGTGGGTACATTTGATTTAAATTCTGAGTCTACAGGTTAAGAGAAACTTAAGACTCACATTCCAAAAGGTCTGCCAAGGTCTTGGTCCTAAGGGCCACAGGTCTCTTGGTCTTGTCGTTGGTGATGGCATATTCTTGCATGCCCAGCTCCTCTGCTACCTTGGCCTGAGTTCTGTTATTCACCAAAGAGCTTCGCAGCAACTGACCAAGAGTAATTAAGGGATGTTTAGAAACCATTTCAATGTGGTCTCTCTCCTCCTTCAGTGTTGGGCTCAAACAGACCAAGATCATGTCACTGACAGGGATGCCAAGTTAAGCAATGGTTTAAGTCCTCAACCTCTACCCCCAGGCTGCCGTGACAACCTCCGTGTATTTCCAGCTTCCCCTTAATAACTTCCTCTGCTCTTGGATTTTATCTAGCTAACATCTGAATAGTTTATTTTGTTGTTTAGTAGCAGTGAGCCGTGGTGAGGGGAGGGTACTAAACTATGATTAAAGATCATACCTTCCACTAAATGTAATGCTACTAAGTAAAAGGAGCATTAAATTTTTATTTATTTATTTATTTATTTATTTATTTATTTATTTATTTATTTATTTATTTATTTATTTGATTTATTCATGATAGTCACACAGAGAGAGAGAGAGAGGCAGAGACATAGGCAGAAGGAGAAGCAGGCTCCATGCACCGGGAGCCCGACGTGGGATTCGATCCCGGGTCTCCAGGATCACGCCCTGGGCCAAAGGCAGGTGCTAAACCGCTGCGCCACCCAGGGATCCCTAAATTTTTTTTAAAATCAACATTATTGCAGTATAACTTACAAATGATAAAACGCACCCATTTCAAGTACAATTAGGTGAGTTTTGACAACTTTCTACATTTCTTTCACCCCCAAATAAGTTTCATGTTCCCCTTTGTAATCAATCAATCCGAAGTACCACCCATCCGGCAAACCTGACCCACTTTCTGTCACTGTTTGATTTAAAGGAGCATTTTTTAAAAGTCTACAACTTCAAGTTTAACAGCACTGATGCTAATTTTGATATTATAGGATTTGGGGAAGTAATGTTTTAGTAAGCATTATTTAAAATATTTAAATTATTTATTTAGAGTTTTACTTTTATTATTTTAAAGATGTATACTATATATCCTGAGTCATAGTTTATCAAATTGGGACTCTTCATCTCTAATCAAATTAAAATGGAATTTTCATATTTCAACTTTAAAAATTCAAAACAAAAATTTCTAGTACCAATTTCGGGCAGCAAAGAGTCCTCCAAACACTATCCCAAGTAGTAACATTACACAGCACATGAAAATTACACAACAAACCCATCACAGAGGTTCCCAGACAGCAAGCACAGTTCAAGAATTGAGCACTCGGTAATGGCTCACTAGAGGAAGTGGAGAGGAGCCTGGGGGAAGCAGACAGAAACCACGATGGACCAAATAAAAGCTGAAAGTCATTATTATCCCCAAATCTAAGATTTCGGGGAATAACATACCTAAAACTAGAACTTTTGTCACAATGGCTATAACAAAATTTTGTCCTACTACAACAATCCCTTCCTGCTAAGGACCATCCCTGACACCAGGGCCAAGGTGCGGGAAGCAGCTGTGGGCTGCGCTAGTGTTCTACCCCTGGCCGTTCCACACTGTGCTTTGTTTATTAGATGCAAGTTTTATGCTCTGTGACTCCAGTGTCAACCGAGCTTATGAAAATCAAGATTTATTCTCAATGCCTGAGATTGCATCCTTGACAATAGATAAATAAGAAACAATATGTTCTTAATTTGTCTGACAGTGATGCATGAAGCAGAAATACAACTTGATCTTCATAAGCCATGCCTGCTGTTGAGTTACAGACTATTATTCTTTGTCTCAGCTCCCTTCTTCCTATTTCGCCCAACTCTTTTTCCTCAATATAGTAAATGTTTCATTAAAATTAATATCCACAGAGAAGCTCAAAATTAAAAAGGCCTACCATATAATGTTATTAGAAGACCCAACCAATAGAGCCCATCAGCCTAATATCTTGTAATTATAAAATAACTGAGCTAGAAGGGAGAGATCTTTTTTCATTTGTGTTCCCAATGGGGAGATGGCAGGAGGCAGTTCTCAAAGTAGAGGCTGGGGGAGAACAGGAGGGCTATTTTGAGAATACGGTTGTGCTGAGCAACAGCACCATTGGGTTCTCAATATGTGCTTTGGTGAGAAGATAAAGCTTTAACTTAGGCTGCCTATATGGAGTTTTCATGCTTCAAAATCAACGAATCGGAGGTACAACACACAAATGCACACAAAACACCATATATCTCCAGTTACCAGGCCCCGGCAGCTGCCTTCCGGTGTCAGGGCTCCTTCTTTGGTTATTATCCAGTAAGGTTGTCCGACGGAGAAGGGAGAAAGCAGTGAGGATGGAAACAAATGCTTCCAGTTTTATTTAAGATACACCCTGACAGGCCATGAAGCCACAGGGTAACCAGTAGAACGTGATCTTCAAGTTCTTGCCAGAACTCTGAGCCTGAATCAAAACTCAGTGTGGGAGAAGGAAGCTATAAATCATCCATATTTTTGGAGTCAACTTAAATTTAGAAGATGAATTGAAAAGAAGTAAGACTTTGCACTTTACCTAAACAATTGTCCAAATGGCAGTTCTTTAAATGTCCGCTTCCACCCTTGGCCTTTGCTGGACTCCAGAATGAATCACACTGTTTGCCAACAGGTGGGATCAAGATTGGGGGGGGGGGGTGTCACAAGGCAGAAAAGCACCTTCAGCTAGTTCAGTGTAAGAGCTGTGGAGCCCAACTCTGTGCTAGGCACTGTGCTGACAGCTGAAGACCCCAACTGCTGGGGGGGTCTTGATCGACACCCACTGCTGCTCATCTCCCAAGGAAGCCACACAAATTGGCCCTTAGGATGCTCTGCAGTAGCTGCTGTGACAGCACGGAGGACACAGGGCACGCAGGAGCCCTCTTCTACACAGAGGCCTCCTGAAGGACCTGACCCCTGAGTAAAAACACTTCAGAGGCTCACTGACCTAGCTCTTACATCAGAATCATAAAGTGCTTCTGAGATATGGGTGCTTGGGCCTCTTCCACGAACCAAGGCATTAGTATTTCTGGGGATACAACTTGGACATATGCATTTAAAAAAAATTCATGTAGGTAGCTTCTGATGAACAGAGTCAGAACTGGAAAAAAAATGAGGCTGCCAGAGGGGTAGGTGCTATAGTCTAAATGTCTGTGTTCCCTCCCCCCCAAATTCCTACACTGAAATCCTAATCCCTACAGATGATGGCATAAGAGGTGGGTGGGGCCTTTGGGGTAATTAGGTCTTGAGAGTGAAGCCCTCATAAATGGGATCATATATGATCTCTGAGGCCTTATAAAAGAGGCCTTAGAGAGATCTCTAGCACCTTCCCCCATGGGAGAGTACAATGAGAAGTCTGTGACCTGGAAGAGGGCTCTCACCAGAACCCAACCAGACTATCACTCTGATCTTGGGACTTCCAGCCTCCAGAACCGTGAGCGGTATATTTCTACTGTTCATAAGCCACCTAGTCTGTGGTATTTTGTTCTAGCAGCTTAAATAGAGTAAGATGGTGGGAAAGAGTTTTCCAGGAAAAGGGAACAGCTTTGGCAAAACAAAGGGCCATGACACAGCAAGGTAATCACTGAATGGGACTGGAGGACAGGTCAGAGCAGAGTCAGGGAGAGCTAATATAGACGAGGCTGGCTGGCCTCTGGGCAGTCTTGCAGGTCATGTAAAGAAGCCTGTACTTTCCTGTAAGGGAGAAGGAAGCCTAAAAAGTGTCAAATGGGAGCGGTTGCAATATAATATTCTGATTTTAGAAAGATCATTTTGATGAGTGGATTTGCCTGGGATAAGACATATGGTTGGAAAGTCTGCAGACGCTGATGCTATTGATTATTATTTTACAAAGAGGAAATATCTGCTTTTTAAGTAGAATTCTAGAAAATGAATATTAAGTATCCAATTGAGCTTGAGTTAGTTATTAGATTGTTTTTGCAAACAATGCCTTGTGTTAGATGTGGTAATGAAAGGCTAGAGATTTGGCACCAAACTTCCTGGGTTCAAACTGTGGCCCTACCACTTCCTGGCTAAGTGACCCTGGGTAAGTTACTAAATCTCTCTGAGGTACGGTTTCCTCATCTATAAAATGGAGCAAAGCAGTACCTACTTCACAGGGTTGTAATGTATTACACTGCGATGGCTGGCACATGATCAAAACACATGAAATGTTAGTTGCTGTTTTTACCCACAGTGGCATCATCATTATTATGCCAGATGAGCTCACTCTTTTGGTTATAGAAAGTTCTAGGAATTCCTCTGAATTTTCCACAGATGTTCTAGATATCAGTCTACGTATTGTCATTGAAGCCCTCCATTTTACCAAGTGCTAGGCTGCCCCTCACAACTTTTTCTTTTTCTTCAACCCTTCCCCCCACCAAAGACAAAATTATACTTGAAATCACCAGAAAAAATGAAGAAAGCTGTAGTCAGGGCTTTCTGTGAAGCTGAGAAAAAGATGGCTGAGTCCCTGATGCAATGGCAGGACCAACAGAAGTGTCACACGTCTCCAATTCTGACTTTCAGAATCCAGGGAGTTTTCTACTATCTCGGCACAGCAGTTTCTCATGACTAAACTTAAATTTTAATAGGAAAAAGGTTTATTGGCTTAAAACAAACAAAGAAACATATTGGCATTCTTCCTTCAACCTCTCTATTTGTTTTTGATTCTAAGAGGAAGCCACAGCAGTGGGACATGAGCAACCGAAGAGGGCCACCTAGTGTAAAAGTAAGTAGACTGTGATTTATTATTTTAAGGGCTTTAACATAAGAACATGGGGTGAAAGCAGAATATACTATTAAAAGTGACAGTGATGTACCACACAGGTCTATTACACCAAGAGTGGTAGCCAGATGGTCTCCATTTCCTATGATAACTAAAGAAAAGGTGCACAAATGCTAGCAGGCGGGATGCAGGTCAGATACAAAGAACCAAATTATGTCAGTGACAGAGAAATTCTCCAACAGGAGGCTTGTGGAATCTATCCTCTCAAAGAGATCCTGTAGATGAAATCTGCGTTTGTCTAAATGATTTATGCTTAGTGCTGGCAGGAGGCAACAGGGAGGGATTAGATCACTGGTTCTCAAACTTTTTATTTGTAATCCCTGCTTTCTCATTATCCCAAATCATTCTGCTATAAAAAAACAAAAATGTCTGCAAATTCATCTCACTGATGCACACACCAGTGGGCACTGTGCATTACGCACAGTAGGCATGGGATTAGCAACTATTTTTTAGCTCGGTAGCACACAGTGAAGACTAAGAAGAAGGAATGATATAGAGAGAAGAATGATATGCAGGTGTTAAAACCTGCAAGGGTGACAAGACGGGCATCCTGGTCTGAGCTAATGATCTTTGGGACCCTCCCACTACTTACCTAATCCCTACTGGCCAGGTTCTACCCTAAAAAATCAAATACTTCAGTCTATGAAATCAACCTCAGTCCTCCTATAACAATTATCTATGCCTGAGATTCCTTCCCAAGCAGGCCTTTTTGAATATCCAACTCACACAACACTATGTTTTTCCCCATCAGCATTCAAAACTTCAAATCCATGATTTCATTTGTTCAACTGTCCTATTCCCTGTAAAACAAGCACACAAAGTAATGGCTCAAAGCTAACTGATGCCTCCCGGTGTGAATTAATGTAATTGTGTGTTCTTTAATCACAATAATGAATAATTTGCCACCCCTCTCATACAAATGCAACTGTAGTAAGTAATCCTCCACATATTTTAAATTAATTTTAATCTATAGACATTCATAAATAACAGCCTCCTTCTTTATACATAAAACATGTCACTTCCCTCCAATGCCACTTCTATTTCCCTTTCTATACATCTTAGCTACCTACAAAACTCTTTCTCTTATTTATTTATCAAACATGTATTGCAAGCCTACCATATGGCTGGGCACAGAGTGATACATGAAAACACACTCTCACAGAACTTCTAGGTTAGTGGGACAAGCAAATGGAAATCAGTAAGTGCCAGGAAAGAAAAGAACATGGAATTTGACTGAGGAGGCCATCTGGAAAGGTTCTCCTTGTAGCCAGAAGTCAAGCCAGAACTGACATCTAATCAAAGAGTAGGAGACACCAGGCAGATGAGGGTTGGAAACAGGAATAAGAACAGCACATGCAAAGCCTAATGGCAAGAAGGGGCTTGTAGGAACACAAAACAGAGCAGTGTAGAGGCCCATAATGAAAAGAAGAGCATATAGCAGGAGGAGGGCAGATGGGCAACTCAGACCAGCCAGGGCCATGCTTGTTCTTTAGTTACTATCCAAAGAATAAACTTACAGCACTGGCCTGGGATAGGACAATCATTCATTCAGCCTATCAGCTCAGCACTGATATATGCCAGGAACTCCAAGGACCCAGGGAATCAAGAATGAAGAGAACAGACAAACACTCTTGCCCTCAAGGAATTTATACTCTGACAAGAGAAGACTGAAAGTAAACAAGTAAAAATACATAGTATGTGCTAAGGAGAAAATGGAAATGAGGTTCCCAGCTGGAAGAAGGGAAATAGGGACAAGGGGAAGAGGTCACAATTTAAGCAGGGTAAGTTGAAGGCCTCACTGATAAGATAGCATTTGAACCCATGCCCTGAAAGACATGAGGAATTTGGCCACAGCATATACAAAGGCACTGAGGCAAAGGCTTGCTTAGTGTTCTACAGGAATGGCACAGGATCCAATGTGAAGAGTCTAGGAGACAAAGACAGTCAGGGAGAAAGGTCATGGGGTCTTGTAGGTAACAATACTGTTACCCTTAAGGCAGGAAATCTTTGGAAGGTTTTTCACAAAAGGAGGGTTGTAATCTGACTTCCCTTTATAAAACAGTCCCTCTGGATGATGTGTTAAACATAGACTGATGGCTTGGGAGGGGCGGGGTGTTGGTTGCGGGGAATGAACCAGCTGGGAGGCTATGGCTGTAATTTAAGGGAAAGATAATAAAAGCCTGGGCCAGGGTGATAACAATGATAACAATGAAAAGTAGTCATGTTCTGGACAAATATTTAAGGTAAAATCAACAGGATATGCTAGCAGCTAACAGGTATAGCATGAAGAAAAGAGGACCATTAAGGATGACTTCGAGGTTTTTGGCCTGTACAACTTTAAGAATGAAATGATCCTTACTGATTTGGAGAATACCTAAAGAAAAGCAGGTTTGGGGGTGAATATCAGTTTTGTTCTGGTCATATTAGGCAAGAGATGCCTAATAGAAATCCAACTAGAGAGTCCAGTATATCTTTTTTTTTAAATATTTTGTTTATTTACTCATGAGACACAGATAGAGGCAGAGACACAGGCAGAGGGAGAAGCAGGCTCCCTGTGGAGAACCTGATGTGGGACTCAATCCCAGGACCCTGAGCCGAAGGCAGACACTCAACCACTGAGCCACCCAGGTGTCCCTCCAGTATATCTTTATATCTAGCTATTCAAGTGTATGTGAAGATATAAACAAAGAGCCTAGAGTTAAGGCGAGAAGTACAGGTGGAAGACATACCTTAGGAAGTGGTGTGGAGAAGTACTCAAAGCCATGAGATCACTCACAGAAAAGAGGTCAAGAGAAAAGAGATCTGAGAAAGAGGGTGCTCCAGCATTTAGCGGTTGGAGAGATGAGAGGAATAACCAAAGCAGACTGAAGATGAATGGTGAATATGGTCATAGGAGCTCTGCTGTGAAAAGACACCACCAGCCACACTGTGAAAATGCATCAAAGGATGGAGCAAGAGTAGATAGACCAGTTAGGAAGCTACGACAGGGTCAACAGGCCTGAAACCTGGGCCAACTGCAGGGTTTCTGCCTGAGACCATGTCCACTGTGGGAGAACACAGAACTACAAAGGACGGCTTTGCAAACAGTGGCATACGTATCAGGGAAATCTGAACATGCTGCATTGCCTCATGCTTGGTATAAATGCAACCTTAAGATCGTATCCTGTGCAATTTAATAAATGCCACTCCTTCTAACGGGGTTTGTCAAGCACATTCCTGTAATGTTTTGCTACCGACGCAGAAGCTGCTACAGCAGTCTGGGTGACAGACGTTGGTTGAGAGGATTTAGGTAATGAAGACGAGGCGTTTACTCAAGAAGTAACAATGTCAGGACTTACAAGTGGTCAAGAATATAGGGATGTAGGCGGAGGGAGGAATCAAAGATGACTCCTGGGTTTCTGACAGGCAACACAGGATGGTTGACATTGTCGTTCAATTACTCAGGGAACACTGGAAGAGATTCTAAGTTCATTTGCTCTTGGACATGTGGAGACGCTGAGAGGGCAGCTACCTAGTGGGGCTCAGGAAGAAATGGGACTGAAGAGATCTGTTTGGATGTCATTGTCTCTAGAGTGAAACTGACAGTGCATACATGGAAAAGACTGCCTAGGAGGTGCTCTTGTGACAAGAGACAAGGGCCTAGGTGGGAACCTTTCAGATGCTGGAATCTCCATCAGCTGTACAGAATATGATGAGCCTGCAAAGGAAGCTATGAAAGAGTGGCTAAAGAGGTGAGAAGAAAACCAGAGTACAGAATGACAGAAGCTAACGGAAGCTCACAGAAGCCAACGAAGGACAGTGTTTCAAGAAGGAGGGAGGGACAATTGTGCCAGTACTGATGAGAGTTAATATCTTTTAAAGTATGTACTCAACTGATGACAGATCTTCTTTATTTTACCAGCAGATCTGTCGGTCCTATTGATTTCTACCAAAGCTTCCTGTGAACATAGTTAATAAAACCATATCATAATTTTGTCATTTACCCTCTTTCTAATAGGCTCTTCAAAAATCCTCTAATTTTAAGACAACAAGGCTGATAAATACATTTTGAGTAACACTAAAGGTTATAGAACTGAAGCAATTTTGGAAAGAACATAAAACTAGAGTCTTTAGTATAGTCCTGGTTTTATCTTTATCTAGACCATGATGGGAAGCAGTAAACTTGTTGATCTATAACATCCCACCTCCATAAAATCCCAGAGTTCACAATTAATTTTGCAAGAAACTAGGGGCAAATGTGTGCATTTAAGTCATGCATTTTCAACAGTGGCCTCTATATGGCCAAAAAATGAATTTCGATTTCAAGACACCTGACTTGGTTCCTCAGACCAACCAGATACTCTGACAGCAGTGAAGTCTATTCCCCAATGGAAGATACTGACAAAAAATTTATTGATTCCTTAAAGATACTAGATATCTAGCAAGATACTAGACACTAGTTCATTTTTGGTAAATACTCCTATGTCCTTAAAAAATTTAATATTAATCGAGAGGAACTACTTCCTTGTCCATCCACAAGTATTTAACTTTAAATGGTAATCCAACTATTGATTTTAAATTCAATTTAAACAAAGAGTATTGCTGATTTCCTATATAATAGTATGGGGCATAGTGAGAGAACTATAATACTCACTGAGTGAGTGACTAAAAGAACTGTATTTTGTTAGGCTTAGAAATTTCACTGAAAAATTACATCTAAACATAGTCAAATCACCATATTCTCCTTAATTCCAATATTTGTGTCTCACATAAACTATTTCCAGGGTACATAGTTGCAGAGATAAGATCCAATTCTATTCAGAGCAAAACATGCATATAAATCATAGAGATACAAAGTATGAAAGACTTATTATTTGCTTCAAGTATAATAAAAAAGGAAGGCTACACACTAACAAAATATCTTAGAGCACACTACTATTTTTCTTGGCCCAAGAAAGTATTTGCTTTCTCAATGCCCAACTCTAGAGGGTTTTCTCAAAGGTTATTTCTGCGCCTTGAGAGATCCTCAACGATTGGCTTCCAAACATGCTTTGTTCACCATTCTAGCTATATTATTGATCAGTTTCAGAGTACAAACCATATGCAACAAATAAAAAAGCTCAATGCCATTTTATAAAATGAAACAAAAGTGAGAGAAATGGGGACCGTTTCACTTTGTTCATAAATCAAACTTAGTTTTTCTAAGCCCCTTTCAACTCTGTCCTGGATCCAGCCAAACTGATTCCCTGCTGTCTCTCTATCTTCTGGTTTTTCATGTTGTCCCTTTGTTTCAGTAGGCCCAAAGTGTGGCATGTCTTTGCATAGAAATTTCTGCCATTAACTCCTGGTGGCCAAATCCCACTCATCTTTAAAGGATCAGACATCACCATATCCAAGAAGCCTTCTTGGAAATACAGAGCTAAAAGAAATCTTATCTTTTTCTAAACAACACAAGTACAGCAGTTTATCTATGCCTCTTCCTAATATTCCACATGGTTCTCTTCTATATTTAGTTACCATTACTTACTTTTATTTTTCAGTGTACATGTATGCATGCACACATGACATACATACATTATATATAATATATATATATAATGTGTATATATATAGAGAGAAAGAGAGACAATATTTGTAGCTATTCACTTATATTCTCCATTTCTGCTAATAGTTTTTAAACTCCTTATGGATAGGTGTCGACTAGTATCTGCTCTTCCCATGAAGTCTAGCTCAATTCAATGTCTTGCACAGGGCTGGTAATCATTAAATGAAGGGAGTACAGGAAGAATTCTTCTCACATACTGCTTTGTATACAATTTGCATAATGAAATGAACAAAACCATGTGATATGCTAACATCACCAAGAACTAAGTAATCAATTACATAAATACATATTTGGCTCCTCTAATCTTCACTCTATTTCACAGCAATCTTACTGAAGGGAATGACTTAACACAAACTCACAGTTAAGTGTCCTTCGTGATGATCTGGGAAATGAATAAATAAGTACTCAGTGGCAACCAGCTGCATTATGGAGTCACCTAGGAATTCCATCCTCTGATTGTGGCCTCTGGAAAAAACATCAATGCAAAGAGACCGATAAAGTATTTGTATATTAAAAAAAAGAAGCATAATTTCTAAAAAGGTATGGTTTTAAAAAAGCAACATGTTCACCTTGCTTTAAAACACAAGACTAAATACAAGTCCCTAAGGCCTCAATTGAGAAGAGATCTGAGTCAATGTAGATTGAGTTTTGAAGAAGAGTACAATGACTAACGTCTAAGAAATAAACAACCGATAAATAGTGCCTGGTCGGAAGTTAAGGAGTATCAGTGGAAAAATAAAGTATAGATAACAATCTTGCATAGTTAACTTTCATTCAAACAAAACAAAGCAAAACAGTCCAAGAATTTTCTTTGTTAAATCTTTACTTCTTTATTGAAATATACTCTCTATCATTCAAATCTGGAATCCAGTTTAAGGACACTAAAAAAAAAAAAAAAAAATCTATGACAAGAATCTCAAATCTTTACACTTTAAAGAGAGCTGTGAATATCTGATTTAGGGGAGAGAAGCCAAGAACTGAATAAAAAACAACCGCAAAGAAATAACATTGTGGTTATTTTCCTAATTATTATATTAGCTCATCTCCAAATCGCTCATCTAGAGCTAGGATGGAGGGCCAATTTCAGCCCACGGTCTGTTTTTGCAAGTTTAATTGGGACAGAGCCATGTTCATTCATTTACATTTTCTCTGTGGCTGCTTTTATGCTACTAGAGCAGAGTCAAATCACTGCAACAGAGACCACATGGCCTGTAAAGCCTAAATTACTTAGTATATGTCCTTTTACAGTTAAAATTTACACACTTCTCTTATACTTTATGAAGAAATAAGATGCATGACAATGAAACCAAAAATACTGGATTGGAACCTATGAAACAAAAAATACTGTATTGGAAACCTATCCCCTGATCCACACCAGCATCTGGCTACTCACCCATCTCATGATGTGACTTTCCTGGAAATATGTTTGAAATCCCAATGTCTTTGAAAGGCACACAGCAAAGGTTTGGAACTGCCTGTCTAAATGGTCACACTGGGATTACACGGGTAATTCTAACTTACAGGGTCAGATGGTTAAATCCCACAGTTCTCAACGTGAATGCTCTTGCCAGAAGTCGAACATGAGTAAAAATTACTCCAATTGCTTCTTCAAACTCAGTAAGTTTCTGTAAAACTGGAGAAGTCTCAATAAGTTGTCGATCAGTATTCGGCTCTTGTAGCTGCAGGAAAAGAAAAATAAATAAAAATCATGTGCAGTTTTTGGTTACAAGAATAATTATCAATTCTAGGATAGTGTTTTGTAAAATTCCTTCTCCCATGGGCAGAAATTTCTGAAATGCCAACAGAACACGGAAGCTTCCTTCTCATCCCTTAGAATGGCAAACAAACCTAATATTTAAAGAAGGCTCAAATAATATTTTCCAATCTTCTTTCAAATTTCAAGGCCAAGTACTGTACACAGATAGTTCAAAATCCCAAGTATTATACTAACTCTCCAAGGAAGAGGCAAAGTGAAGAACTGCTGGTGGAGAATATGTGTATCTAGCAATGCAGTGGTTCTCAAACTTTCCCGTTCATCAGAATGCTTGTAGGGACCTGTTACATCCATATGGCCGGGCCCTATTCCAGAGTTTCTGATTCACTATGTCTGGAGTAAGGACTGAGAATCTTCCTGTCAGTTCCCAGGAGAAGCAAATGCTACTGGTATGGGGACTGCCCTTTGAGAACCACTGCATTACAGGAATATGACTGTATGTCTTCTAGGGACCAGCCTATTTTGGCAAATGAACAGGATTAAAGCTGGATTCATTTGAGCTTATTAATAATCATTGGAGATTATTATACCACTAGGCAGGTGCTCCACATAACAATGAGCTTTGAACAACTCAATGCAAAAGTGAGAGCAAAGAGCAAATATGAAAAGAGTAACTAAAGTGAACATTTTTGATAACTTTGGACAATTTCATACTAACGTTTCTAAAGTTCTTTGAATTAATGCCATTTATTACTGTAAAGCCTCTCACTAGAGTTCAGCCACTAGTGACTCTTATATATGTATAATGTACCCATATGTACATGCATACATATACATGTCTCCACGTAAAACAGAAATAAAAGGAAAGAATACAAAGAATTTTTAAACCAACTGGGGATAAAGGGTATCATCGCATATAGATCTTTTAAATACCAAAATCTTTAGTAAAAAGTCATCACATTGTACTAAAATTTTAATTTACAGTATGTTTTAAGCAATCTGAGTCAAAGCCTTCAATTTCCAAGATCTAAATTAGGTTACCATTTAGCAATGTTAATTTAGTATTTGTTCTTTTTACTAAGCGCACACTTGCTTCCACATTATTTGCTCTATAAAGCAGCCAGGGAGATATACTGGAGCAACATAGTAAGTTTTTAATATCACTTTCTTGGGGGGAGAGAGGGCACCAAACCACAACCACAGAAGTAGTTCCTCCTGCCTTGTAAGGGAAGATGACTCCCATTGCTTCCCCCACCCCACTCCAGAGAATAGATGCAATAAATGAGTCTGTTTTACTATCTGTTCCAAAGTTTTCCAGTTCTACCTGATGCTTAGCTCAAGCTCATAATGTCACTGAAAGGAATCAGAGGTTTATAAATGCAGGAGGGAAAACAGGCAAACTAAAGTGACATGAAAACATGCAGGTCTAAAGCTCACTGCAGACAGGAAGGTAACACTTACTTGGAGTGGGTGGAGAGGATAATTGAGCCAAACTTCTCGCAGGTCCTGGAAAACAGAGTGATGCCTTTAATGCTCCAGGGAGCCATTTAACATGCTCTGGAGTACTAAATAAAACGCCATTATTTGAAATAGTGAACTATTTCAGATGCTGACTCCACTTATTGCAAATTCAATAGTGCTAGCAAACTAATTTTTGTAAAGTGTATTCACCACTCAAACTGCCTGTAGTGACTCTAATTAGCCTATTAAGCTGGGGAGGAAAAGAGCCACCTCCACCCCCAGAAGTCAAAGATACCTTTTAAAACTCAGTTACACATTTGCTTAACCTAATACTTGGGATTAGGCTGCTGTTTTAATCATATTTTTTAGTTTACCATTCCCCAGAAATGTGCATCAGCTCTGCCTTTTGTAATTAAAACTCATCTCAGATGTTTTTTATTTTAGGCACTCATTCATTAGCATTTGAGCTGCTTTAAGATGGGGTGGAAAACATCCAAATCTAGTTCCTAAATTCTCAGATCTATAAGACCACACTTTTATTGCAGGTCACTACAAATGTTTCCTTGAAATATGGAAATGAGTGAATTTTATGGAGAAGCCCAGTACCTTATTTTATCCACTGAGCTAAATCTAGAGGCAGTTATAATTAGAACTTCCTCAGGATTAAAGTGTCTTTCCTGCAGTTTTAGACTCTAGGGAGCCTCTGAGTGAATCTACTTTCTGGCCTTGATGTTAGGTTTTTCAAACAAATAACAAAAAATTTTTAAAAAGAGGGAAAAATATTTTTAAAAATTCAGGGGGGACAAAATATAGGAATATTTATTATCACTAACTATGACACACAGGATAACAAAGTGAAATAAAATATCCTGTGTTTTGAAGCAACTTGCTTCCCACTTAGAGGGATTTTATTTTTGCCAGTATTAAAAAAAATTAAAAAGCTTAAATATCAAACTGTTCTTTTAAGGCACTTTAGAGAGCTTCTCTTAACCAACTCAATAACCTTTCCCTTGAATTCTCTGTAGCATGAATTATGCTGAATGTCACTTCCTTCTTGCAACTTTTTCACGTTCTCTCATGCTTTTTTTTCCTTCTCAAAACAGTGAGCCCACTTCTGGCATGCAGAAAGAGCTATTACTAATGTTGATCGTATCCAACAGTAACAATGAACAGCCATCTCTTCCAATCAACTCCCATCTCCCAAATTCAAAATTCTCAACAACTTGATTCCTCTTTTTCCTGTCTCCTGTGTTTTTCACTCAGTGACACTGGGATTGTGCCTTAGATGTCTTCCACGTGTAACTGCTTAACTCCCCACAACTAGTTTGTTTCAACTGCCTCCATTTCCTTTCATCTGCCCTGCTCAGACATCAGGTTCTTCTGTATCTTGATGCCAGAGAAAATATCCTGCAAAAAATCCAGACTGGACTTCCAGCTTTAGCATTTACTAGCTCAAGGGAAAACTTCTACCTTCAGAGTGTCCTGGAAAATGCTCGACTGCTGGGATATTTATTAATGCAACTTTTTTTTCTTATTTTATTTCGTTCATCACAATAAGTGCACTCCTTAATCCCCACCACCTATTTGACCCATCCCTCCACCCACCTCCCCTCTGCTAACCTGCAGTTTGTTCTCTATAGTTAGGAGTCTATTCCTTTGTTTGTCTTTCCTTTTATTTTCCTTTGCTCATCTGTTTCTTAAATTCCACATATGAGTGAGAGATCATATGGTGTTTGTCTTTCTATAACTTATTTTTCTTA